ATAACCTTACAGACTCTTTTTCACTTGGCACCTCAATCATCTTAGCTGAGGTTTCTCTCCATTTGTTAAAGAAGGAGGTGAAGCCTTCGTTCTCCTTCTACTTGAGGATTTCAAGTTCCCTATGGTCAGTCTCAACTTGAATGTTGCATTTGTATCTATCAACGAAAGCGTTTGCTATGGACTCCCAGGTGGAGGTTTTTTCTTTCTCGAGAGAAAAGAACCATTGCTGGCAAACGATCTTGAGAGATAGTGAGAACAAAGAGGGGAACACCTTCTTGTCGATACCCTTAATACTCATTATTGTTTCGAAGGATCTTAAATGAAAATAAGGGTTATCGGTTGCTTTGAATTTAGGTATGTCGTTGGCATTGAACTTCTACGGAAGAAGATCTTTGTCCACCGAGACCCCTTGTGAACTAATCCCTTGAAACTTGTAGTCGCTAGATAGCTTGATTAGGCTCTCTTGCATGAGGTCCATCTGTTGTTGTGTCACGGGATCATCAATCTTAAGGGTTAGTATCTTTAGTGCTTCAGTCACGGTAACCAGTTGGTTCCTGAGCTCATTGACTTCTTCTTGTATTGCCATTACTGTCCTAGCTTTCCTCTTACGAGCAATGGCTTTGTCGAAAAGTTGGACTTGTATGAAAAGATTGTCTTTGATTAACCGCCCTTCCTTTCTTGACCACACGTTGTAATTTAAACCATTTTTGTTTTAATTAATTGACTCAAATCGACCTTGACTTTACGGTTTTAAAGAGGAAAAAAAATAGTTGCATATTTTGGCAAAAATAATGTATATATTTTTAGGAGCCAAGTATGGTATTTAAATTGGAGGATTAATATCTAACTTACCCCCCTAAAAAAATGATGGAAAATATGCGCATACAAGACTCTCTTAGACATGGTCAAAGTATGTGTATTGGTGTGTGCGTTGAGTGTAAGTGACATGCTTGTACTTTTGTGTAAGACCATGGGACTTGGTGCCTAGACTTAATTAATGACTTAACAAGGTATTATTAACAGTAAAATTTAACCGAATTACTTAGCAAACTGGTTAATTAGACACAAAGTGATGACTCGATCAATAATCCGAACTGTCGTCAAAATAACAGGACTGGCGCCTCACTTTGTAGTGTAGCGCCAGACGACAACATTTTTGCCAGGTGCCACACTCTACACAGTGGCACTACAGTTCAAACTTTGGCGCCATTGCTAGAGCTTCGATCTGAGACTGTTTTCGGTATTATTAATCAACAGGGGTATGCCTAAAGTCGTACTAGGTCAATTCTGGTTAAAAAATTAGACTTTATTTACCCAAATTAATTTATTAATTAGGCAAAATTCTTTTAGTCATTAATTTATTTAATATTAGCACAAGTCAAACAAACAGTTAGGAAAAACATATACCATATGCACAACAAATAATGCGTAATTAGTCAAGTAGGCACAATATGATACAATGAGTTTGCAACCTAACCATGACTCTAGTTCTCTAAAGTTTGGGATATGGGTTAGTCAATAGAGGGTCCATGGTTAATTGTCCGGATGCACCGCGCGGAAGCCTAAACGTGAAGGGTTGGCGCGAGTGGATGGGACACCGGGAGTTTTAGAAAAAACTTTTTCCATGGTTTGGTGAATTTAACATTCTCGGATGTACCTTTTGTTGCTCAGAGCGTTCAATCAGGTAGAGGGAGCATGAATTCCTAGAGGGCTAAGTCCATATGTAGAACACATATGGGTTTCAGAAAAGTGAGAAAAACTCAATCAGAAAGTAGGAGTGAGCAAACAATGCTAAAAATTGGTCGAAATTAGAACGCATATTTCTGGCTCGGTATTGGAAGAATTTGGCGCCAGCAAACAGAGATTGGCACGGGCTTTTGGCTTTAGCGCCTGGCGACAGGGCTGTCGTCTGGCGCTAAAGTCAAAATTCTGGCGCTAACTTCTGTTCTCTTACGCTAATTCCTACATGGCTCAGCAGCTTTCTATGCTCAATAAAATTTTCCAGTTTCGCGCAGTGTTATTTCGGTCCTAGTTGTGAAAGATATTCCTCAAATTTCCTACGAGTAAAAATCCTATGTTTTAACTCATTACGGATGGTCTTTCCAATGAGATCTTTTTTATTCATATGACAATAATGTTAATCAAAATTACGCACATGAAATACTTAGAACTTTTCGAGTCTCATCCACTCATTCTAAATCATTGCCGAAATAAATTTCAGGAATTAAAATAGAAATCCACCCCAGCGGAGTCGCCAAAAAATCTAGGGAATATTTCAAGCGTTAATCCCTAGCTTGAACCCTACTGTGATCATACACTTAAGTACGGTGGCGTCCAAAGGGAAAGAAGATAGAGCAAAAGAGTCGCCAATAAGTTTTTTTAGGAACTTGTAAACCGTTCACGAGGTGAAGGTTACACCCCTTAACGATCCAAGAGATCGTCAACTCCAATAGATCTTGAACCATGACTGGTAGTTCGGGGATGAAGGTACAAATCCAACCTAAAAGAGATTGAACCTGCCCTAATAATAGGTCTCTACTTTATTCTGATCGTATTCATGTGCGCTTTCTGACTAACATGCAATCAATAGGTTTAAACCTAAACCTGTTTATCTATGTTGGTTGAATATTAATGCACAAATAAATCTATTATTGGCGATCACTTAAATTATAATCATAATTAACCCTAAACAAGATTATTAAGCGTGATTACCAGTACCAATTTCTTTTAAACATGCATAAAAAGGCATGATCAAGCAATAACTAATATATCAAGCAACATAATAAATAATGATGACAATAAAAATAATAATCATAATCATAATAATTATAATAATCATGTTAAAGCATAATAATAATAGCAAGATCCTAGGCATGATACTAACAATGTTAATAATAAACCCTAGCACGTCACTAAACATTAAAAATCAAAGCTTTAACCCTAATATGATACTAACGATCATAAATATTAGGAAGAACATAGGAAGCATCATACTTTTAATCATACTTGGTATTAAAGTTACCCTAGACATGATACTAAGAATTTTAATAACAATCTAAGCATGATTTCTACATCATAATATCAAGAAAACCATTAAAGTACTTACTTGGATGCCTCGTACCTCTTTCTAATAACAAAATACACACGTTACTAACTTCAAGGAAAATAATAAACAATTAAAGAATTGAAAGAGAGATTTGGGACCAAACCCTCAGAAATTAAACCTTTCACGTCTAGGGAGAAGGCAACTTCGAATATGGCTAGGTGTATCTAAGTCTTGCGAATGCGGAATTTTGTATTTGAGAAAAGGCTAGTTTAGAAAAGAGAGAGAAAGAGAATAATCAAGAAAATCTTGATGAGAGTTGGTGAATGAAAATGGAGTTTTTAGAAGGCTATTTATAGAGAAAATCAGCCAAAAAGATAAAAAAAATCAAAACAGAGTTCTGACGCGTAAAACGAGGTTAGTGCCAGACACTGACATTAGTGCTAGGCGCTAACGCTAGCGCCAGGCGCCAAGCTTAGCGTCAGGCGCTAATGCTGGCGTTTGGCGCTGACTAAGTTATTGACGCGTTTTCTAAAAATCAGATAGAAACTGCCGTACAGGAGGATAAAATCGTATTTTCCTCAAAAACATTCTTTTATTCTGATAAAAACCCTAAAATGTCAGCAAAAGTCAATTTATCAATGCTAATTGAATTAGAAATGAAAAAGAACCTTGTAGAAGAATTTAGAAGACTAAAGCTATTCCTAATTGCATTAGGAATGATAAACCTATATTAGGCCTTCCTCTACATCATTGAGCGACATATAAGGCTCAAACCGGGCCCAGTTTAGTAACTTGGCCATAACTTCCTTAATATTCATCGAAATTGGGCTTATAATATATCGTTAGAAAGCACTTTTCAAGCCTTATCCAACTACACTACTATTGGACCCATATCATGGACCAACCAAAATGGATAGATTGTTTTCTTAAAATAGTTTTTTCAAAAACAGAGAGAGGAGAAAAGAAATTAAAACAATCCACAACACTAAACTTTCCACACTTTTACTTCATTCGATTATGATTCAACGTGAAAAGTATTCATCACTAGGTTTGGTTTTGGGGAGACACAAATGGGTGTCTACACAGATGTTACATGTATTATTGTTAGAATATGAGCATGTAACGAAATCGAAAAATAAATTAAAAAATTATAAAAATAAATGCAAGATAAGCAATATCGAAAAGACACAAGAACAATGAAAATAAAACAACTATAGAGTACAAAATAAAACTAATTGAAGGAGGGTATCATTACAAATATTACGAAGTTACTCTCACAATGATAAATTAATGAGTGCTCACAAGGGAATATTAGAAGAATAGTAGATTATATTAAAAGGAGGAAGTTTAAGTATAATGGAATTAATAAAGTGGAAAGACTTTGTAATGGATATGGCTTTTTCATGTGTTGATCATGAAAATGACGACCACACACTCATATTTATAGGATTGCGTATGTCGGTGACGAAAGGCAAGATTTTTCAATGGAATTTGGTAGTTCTACCAAATTTCTTTAGCTTCACCTAACAATTATCTTGACGATCAATTTGACAAACATAATCGGACAAGGGTTACTCGATTAGTCATGAGCTACTCGGTTACGGGCCAAGTTATTCAATCGATTTACACAATAGGTTAGGAATTACCACTAATTAAGAAACTCCGTCTATACAATGTGACTAGTTAGTAGTCACATATTATAAAATTTTGTGAGGTCTTAATCAATCTATTCAATTTCTATACCAGTTAAAAAATAAAAATAAAATAAAAATAAAAAAAACAATTTTTGTTGAAAATTGGGCATAATTAACATTGGTCTAGGTTTTTTTTTTTATCTAGATAAATATATGTTTGTAATTATTATGCTTATGATGATAGTGTAATTTTGAAATGACTACACTGATTTTGTAGACACTACAAACTTTTTTTTTTGAAACAAATCCCACCAGGGAAATTAGCTTTCATTCATGGGAGAATCAGAGTTTAACAAAGATAAAATGCAAGGAAAATTAGACACCCAAATCTTCCTACCTATAGTCCATGGCGAGTAATGAGCAAGCTCATGAGCCACTTTATTTCCCACCCGATGAACAAAGCTCCAACCTACACTCTCTAAGGAGTTACAAACATGATAGATATCATCATAAATAAGGTGCACGTTGCTACTACTCCTCTCTCGTGTTTGCAATGCGTTCACAAGCCCAATACAGTCGCTCTCCACAATGATGCGTCTGAACCCATTCTCCACCGCAACCCTTAGCCCCACCAGCAACGTCATGGCCTCACTAACAGCAGGCTGCCAGCGTTCCTCCATACACCACGCACCAGCAAGCAGAGCTTCCCCTACAAAATTTCTCATCACAGCCCCGGCAGACGAGCCAAGCCCTTCCACCACCCCACCATCCACATTTAGCTTTACAAAACTACCATCAGGTGGCTTCCACTTCCCCTTAGACACTCTGCTTACTGCCACGCTATCCCCCACCTCACCTTGCAGCTCCTTCAATTGCTTCATCACATATTCAACTGAACTCTTAGGGTCACAAGCAGCCCCCTCGAAAATCCACTTATTCCTTGTCGTCCACACAGCCTAACAAAGTGACATAAAAATTCCATGCTCATTGCTAGGAAGCTTATCAATGCACGCAAGATCCATTTCGCCAAAGCTCTTAAAATCACCAGACATATCACAATTAAAAACACTCTCATTCCATATGAGTCTAGCAATGACACAATCTCGCAAACAATGGATCTCCGTTTCATCCTCCACCTCGCACAAAGAACAAGTAGCAGTCACACTCTCCACCCTTTTTTTCAAACCATAAGCAGTAAGGAGTGCGCCACAGCAAGCTCGCCAAAAGAAGAGCTTCACCCTCGGCAAACATCCCGCATGCCACACCTTCCCCCAAACTTGTGAAGAATAAGAAGCTGAAGCAACCTCAGCTGCATTCAAATCACCATAGATAGCCCGATAAGCCGAACTAACCGTACTCTACTCCCTTCTCTAGATCCCAACACAAAGTATCTTCCGGCAATCGAAAACTAATAGGGATACTTAAAATGCGCTCCCTCTCAAAAGGAAGGAAAAAGGCAATGACTAAAGGGACATTCCAAGAAGCCGAAGAAAGGTTAATTAAATCACACACTCTCAAATATGCAGGAGCCACACCTCTAGGAGAAATGACCATCCTCGATTGAGTGCTCGGAATCCAGGGGCTATTCCAAACAGAAATATTCAACCCATCCCCCCACACGCCATCTTACACCTCTCTTCACCATCCACTTTGCCCCCCAAATCCCTCTCCAAGTGTAACTCGGAGCATTCCCTAACTCCGCCTCAAGAAAACTACTCTGAGCATAATATCTAGCTTTAAGAGCTCTAGCCACCAAGCTATCCGGATATTGAAGCAACCTCCAACCTTGCTTCCCAAGAAGATCCACATTAAAATACTTGAGGTCACGGAACCCCAACCCACCTTTTGCCTTAGGTTCAACTTTTCCACGCAATCTAATGGATTTTACGCTCACCTTTCCTTAGGCCCCACCAAAAATTAGCCACCAAAGAACGCATCTCATCACAAAAAGAGGAAGGGAATTTGAACACTCTCATCGCGTAGGTCAGAATAGATTGAGCCACTGCCTTAATCAAAACTTCACGACCCGCCTTAGATAAAAAAACCCCTTTCCACCCTTGTAGTTTCCGCTATAACTTCTTCCGAACACCTTTTTTAATGACCCTCTTCGACCTACCAACAACTGTAGGCAACCCAAGGTATTTATCATGAATGCCAACAACATTAACCCCAAGACTGTCAGCCAACTCCTCTCTTCTCACCACAGGTACACCCTTACTAAAAGATACAGCAGTCTTCCCAAAATTCACCATTTGCCCCGAGGCAACTTCATAAGTGTGCAAAACCTGTTTGATAGCATTGAATTCCCCTAAATCGGCCCTGGAAAAAATAATACTATCATCTGCAAAAACATGATGTGAGATAGAAGGAGCTGATTGCGCCACCCTAATACCATGAACCATTCCTGTCTCCACTGCCCTCAACAACAACCCAGAAAGAGCCTCAGCAAAAATAATAAACAAATAGGGGGAAATAGGATCATCTTGTTGTAAACCCCGAGCTAGAGTAAACTCTCCCGAAGGTGCCCCATTTATAAGAATCGAGAAGGAAACCGTAGAGACACAATGCATCACTCGATCCACCAACCTATTTGCAAAACCCATCTTACTCATCACAGCTCTAAGAAAACTCCATTCCACTCTATCTTAGGATTTAGCCATATCCAACTTCAAAGCCATAAACCCACTCTCACTAGTCGAATTCTTCATATGGTGAAACAATTCAAAAGCCACTAAAATATTATCCGTTATGAGTCTACCTGGGATGAAAGCACTCTAATTAATTGAAGTAATATCAGAGAGAAAAACTTTCAACCTATTAGCAAGCACTTTAGCTATCAACTTATACACCACATTGGATAAACTAATCGGTTGCAAATCAGTCATTTTATCTGGGTCTTTTTTCTTCGGGATTAGGACAATAAAAGTGTTATTAATTGATTGCGGAATTATTCAACCATTTAGCACATAAAGGATCAGAGAGCAAACCGCAGGACCAACAATATGCCAGTAAATTTGGAAAAATAGAGGACACATACCATCCGGGCCCGGATCCTTCAACGGGTGCATTTGTTTCAGAGCTCTGAAAATTTCATTCGCAGTATACGGAGCACACAAACCATCATTCATTTCGTCAGTCACACAACCCTCAATTCCCGCAAGAGCTTCATTAAACTCAGTCAGGTTCAAAGTGGCAAACAACTGCTGAAAATACCCCACTGAAAAAAGCTGCACACCCTCGTCCCCCTCCACCCGAGCACCATCATCTGGAAAAAGATGAGTAAGTCTATTTTTAACCCGCCTTTGAGAAGCTTTCCTGTGGAAAAATTTAGTATTTCGATTACCCGATTGCAACCATAACGCTCTAGAACGTTGCCGCCAATAAACCTCTTCGTAATGAATTAAATTAGCAATCTCCTTCACTACTTTGCGGCGCTCATTAACTCGAGCCACTGATCTTCTCCCCCTATTGAGAGCACAACCTTCGCCTTTTTTTTGCTGAGCTCTCTAAAGATTTTCCCGAAATTTTTCGCACTCCAAGACTTAAGATCATCAACGCACGACAGCAACCTGTCCACGAGGGTGGCGCCACCATTCTACGCCCTCTCAATTACCTTCTCACAACCCTCATCTTCAGCCCATAATTGCTCAAAGCGGAACACCTTACCACCCCCACTCCTAGTCAAAACATTCCCCTTATCCAACAAAAGTTTGATAGGAGCGTGGTCCAACCAGTAACGATCCAAATTAATCAGCTTGGCCTTCGAGAAACGATGTATCCAACTCTGATAAGCATGCGCTCTATCAAGCCGACGTTGGACATTATCAATGCCACTTTGTTCGTTGTCATAAGTGAATTCGCACCCTGAAAATGGAACATCACGAAGAGCACACAACTTCACTGCTTCTCTAAAGTTCTCCATTTTCCACAATGCTCTATCTCTACCCCCTTTCTTTTCCGCCTCCGACAAAATTTCATTGAAGTCTCCTATGCACACCCAATCTCCTGAATCACCCTCCGCAAGAGTAGATAAGAGCTCCCAAGACAAATGACGATTATGAACTTTCGGCCACCCATAAAACCCGTGAGCCTCCATTCTACCCCACCCAATCCACCTTTAATCATGACATCAATATGGTGCAACGACATGGACCATAAATCCACTTAAACCTCTTTTTTCCATAACATTGCAACCCCTCCAGACCTGCCTCTACTATCCACCGCAACACCAATATAATCCACCAATTTTGCTTTTATTTTAGACATTTCACCACTACTCAGTTTTGTCTCCGTAAGAATAATCAGAGACGGGGCCTCTTTCCGGACTAAATTCCGGAGATTATTAAATGTAGAGATATTGCCTAACCCTATACAGTCAATACTTAAAATACTCATTGAGCTTGGCGGGGCTGCTCATTGACAGCCTTTGTCACTCGCAATCCAGAGGAAGTATCCGATATCATCGCCTTCTTACTACCCTTCTCACCCTCCACCATGAATTTATCCCTCTCCCTCTCATGTTTCCCTAACACTCCTAACTCATCTCCCCCCATCATAGCATCAAAATTATCCCTCCTATTACCCTTAAATCTTGCACCCCCATTCTTCCCAGATCCTCTCCCCCTACTAGCTTCAAACACAAAAACCCCTTTATTTTTCCCCCATCTCCAAACTCCCTACCCCCTCTTAATTCCACCCATCAAGCTCCAAGCCCCCCTCTTTAACCCCCCTCCCCCCCCAATCAGACCCTCCCAGCATATTAGGTACTGCCAAGAGCATCCCACCTCCATCCCCCACACCATCATCAAAAACTCCCTCCTCCATACCATACTTCCCATTCGTACCCACCGCACTAATCTCCAAAGAAGGCTGCCTCCCATCCCTTTCAGCTGCAACCTCCTCACCCACCAAATTATGCACCAACATCTCCTCACCTTCATGAACTACCTTCAGCTCTAGATTATTCACCTCCCTCCCCTTCCCACCAGCAGGTTTCTGAGTAAAACAGAACGTCTTTGATTTAAATTTAATTTTCAGCACCTCTTCCTTAAGTTTTGCTCTGCCCTTCCGAGGAGAGGCACGCAGCCACAAACCGCATGGCTTCTCTTCCACCTCCTCAACATTCGTGCAATCCTTCTCCGTATGCCCAAGGATCCCACACATGAAACAGAATGTGGCTAATCTCTCATATTTAAATTGCACCGAGGTAATAAGGCCCTGCTTGTTCTTAATTTTTTGAATCCTACGTAAAGGTTTCGTAACATCAACTATAACATGAACCCTCCTCGACTTATCCCATCCCAATTCATCACTCTCCAGTTCAATAACATGCCCAATTTTCTCAGCAATTCTGCGCACATCACCATCAGAGCGACTATCAAGCGGGAGATTATAGAGTCTCATCCAGAAAGGGCAGTGTTTAATTTCGATCGATTCAGGTTGTTCAGTCCCAACTATATTCTTTAATGAAATCAATTGATTGTCAAAGTTCCACGGAGCCCCGTCTAACACCTTCTCCTTATTTCGCCAATGAAAAAATTGAATTATAAACAAGTTATTCTCAATCTTACGAAAAACCACTCCTCGATTAAGGGACCATATTTGTTTCATCGTATTTTGGAACGCCTCAAAATTGAATGATCTAACAGTCAGCAATTTTCCCACAAGAGACAGGGCAATTTTGGATTCATGTGATTCAGCTTTCGACCCACCCAAATCCGCAACATCATCTTCCTCTGCAGTAATACGCAAATTCGCCCACCTCTCTGTAATTTCGCTATCCATTGAAAACGTCACATGCCGCGACCGCCCCGCCATATGGGAGAAAAGCTTGAAGCCTCAAGAGCAAACACTCAGACCTCAGTGAAAGGAAAATCTAAGC